GGCGGGTCTGGCCGAAAAATAAAGTCGGTTTTATCGAGAAGGAACGAGAGAAAGAGAGAAAGTCGAGCCGAGCCGGTGGAATCGCGGGCATTATGGAGTCAAGTACATGTGGGCCAATTTCGAGGGTACGCGAGATGCGGTGCGGTGCGGTATGATGCGGTGCGGTGCGGTGCGGTGCGGTGCGGTGCGGCGCACTGATGGTAGTGGGAGGTGAATGAAGGGAACGCCGCCTGCTGCCGTGATTTATCACGCCACGCCGCGCACCGCTCCGCGTACATACACCGCCATGATGATACATGGCGGTGGCGGAGGAGATGCGGGGCGGAGGAGAGAGCGAGAGAGAGAGAGAGAGAGAAAGAGACCTTCCGCCTCGTACTAATTGACGTCATCGATATTGGTATCCGTCGACGAGCAGATTACTCCGCCGTAAACAACTCGGCCCACCGATCCACCCGCCCCGAGCCTCGCCGGTCCCCTTCGGTAGCCGCCGCGCGTTCTGCTCGGATGGGGAACCACCGTGCCACTTTGCCATCAGCCACTACTACTATCGTCACGAGGCGTAAATAGGGATACGTAATGCGCATTGTAAGGCCGTTGCATTTCTACGTGTGCTGGTGACCCTATACAGCATTCGTCCCTTTTTGGAGGAGGTGCAGCCCCCCTCGTCATAGCGAAGGACCCATTTGCGACATGTAGTTTGATATCGTGTTTAATGTGTTGGGGATGCTGCTGTTTTCAATTAACTCGGAATGGTGTACGATGTTTTGCTTAAAAGTAGCGATGAAAGGGAGAAATTGATTAGATATAGGGGCGAACGGTAAATGTGACGATATGAATGTTTTCCAATGATAAGATTGATTGTTGCTTTTTAATAGTTTTGTAATGACGATTATTAAACGAACCTTTCTAATAATTATGTAATAATTTTTAGAAACAGAGGATAATTTTCTAATCAATTTTTTATTTACTTAATCTTTAAGTATTTATAGAAAATATTCACATAAATCTTTATTTTAGAAAAGTAGAAAAAAGTATGTTTTTTCAAGATTTTTATTTTTATCCTATTTTTATGACTTATATTTCAATATTTCCTCATCTTTTAATTCATAGATTTTTTGAATTAGAATATAGTATTGTGCTTCAAATCATTTAAATCATTCATAAAGCGTGCAGAATCTAGTGTCATATAACATTATTGAATTGTTCGTCCATTATGATCTATTCTATCCATTGTTATATATTCAGATAATGAATACACGATGCTAAAGATAAATCAGTTTAGTAAAATTATAGTATCTAACATTCCCGTAAATCGCCTCGATAAAGAAAGAGGCTGCGCAGCCACAATAGTCACTGACTTTCTGTCACAGCAATGAATCGCGACTGCCACACCCTTGGCATCATCTGTACAAGAAAGTATCTAATCCTCTTGATTCACGATCGATGTCACCCCACACACCCTGTTTAACTCGCTTCGTTTTCCGTTCTCTATCTCTTTCTTTCTCTTTCAACATTTTCGAAAAGCCTCAAGATATCGCCCGCTCTCGCGCTCTTTACCACCCTCGAAGCGCACCATCTATCTCTCATTCTCCTCGTCGCGATATACACTGCGATATAAGAGAGAGATGTAGGATAGAGCGCCTGTGCGAAATAAGGGTGCTACGGTCTTTAACTCGCAAATGCTCCTCGTTCACTTTGCCATATTAGATTCTAATAGGGGGGCATACACACGAGCCGAGAGGGTCATTCATGCTAAGAGCTCTTCGTCTCGTTTCGTCGCGTCGCATTGCACTTGACTTGCCCTGACTGAACGTTTACGTGTGGTCCCTGATTAAATCATACGATATCATTGTCAATTTCATCGACGACCAAATCAGTATCATGACAATAAGCTAATAATAGCCGGACTTGCTTCTCTCATGTATAACTGTCATGAAACACGTGACAAGTCTAAAAGATTTGTTTGGGAACATTTATATAAACAACTTACGTTACAGATTAATATACAAAGTGCACTTTGATGCAGGATTATAAAAGATTAAATTCAGCACATAAATTTCTTGAAGCAAAATGATTAAATTAATGAAAGATAATATTTTTTTATACAGTAAACACGCAATCAAAATTTTAATTTAGAAAAAAATAAATATATTTTCAAAGAATTAAATTATTTTCTCAAAAATTGCTTTCACTGATTTATTAAACCGAGAGATATATAATTTATGTTTTAAAAAATAACACAGAATCAGAATAGAATCATAATATAATTAAGAGCAATATAATTATTTATAGAAGACTAATCTTTTGAATTTACTATTATTGTACCAGCAAATAAAAAACATTGTAAATGTTTGCAAATGTTATATGCAATTTTGTTGCATGCAAAATACTAGATATGAAACAAATTTGTATCATTTATATAAGCTCAGATTACGCGTATATATCGCCGGAAAATATCTCATTGGGAGAATTTATGCGAACCAACCGCGCGCATTACAGAGAGAGAGAAGCTCCTCCTTTCCATGAAGGATATAGGAGTCACATTCGAGCAGCGACGTTCGGTTGATCGAATATATTAACGTGCGGGCAATTTGTACAGCCTGACGGATATAACCCGAGTACCATCGGCGGCAAAATGTATTCCGGAGATTACAACTACCGAAATCCGTCGCGCTATTAGGCGAAAAAAAAGAGAGAAAGAAGCCTAGCATCGATAAGATATACGTTTCGATAATGAAAAAGTTATAAATCTGGAATTGTGAAATATATGACGGGCCGATATAAATCTTCATCGGGCAGCGCTGCCAAATCCCTTCGTACCGCGCAAATCCCTTTCCAATATTGAAAAAAGTGATAGGTCCAGTATGTAATGATCCGGTATTACCCGAAACCGCGAGGGAACGGTATCGATCTATCGTTGTTATTCCGCTTGCATCGACCGCGTCGTTCTGTACATCCTCTCGTGTATTCAATTACAAGATATCACTCGCAAATAAAACATCGGTCTGGATGTTGCATTATACATATTGTTACAATTATACAATTTCCTCGACTACAAATCAGTTGCGGATTACTTAAAACATATTTTTTGTGTAAGTTTTCTTCCAACGAGATTTTTTTTCGCAAATTTATATATTTCTAGGAATTTAATTTCAGTAACAGATAACTTTATATTTTTATTTCGAAAGGATATATTCTTGGATCGCGACTTTTTGCATAATCGTGAAATTACTACACAAAGTAGCAGCTATTTCAGTCGATGTCATAATTTTTTTTCTCTATTACATAGATACGTGGTAAGTTACTGATCATCGCGCTCACCCTCCGGAAAACTTTAAAGCAAATCGCATACCGCGAGATAACGGGGAATTCATTGGGGTACCGATATAAACAAACCCATCCTTCCACCGCTTTTTTTCCTCACCCCGAATCGGCCGGTCGCGCAAAGGAGTACGCGGGTATATATTGTCGTAATATTTCGAAAAACGCGCCGGCACACCGGGATCCGGGGGCAATCTCGCCCTCGAAGATGGCATATACGTGGAGGTGAATCGCCTCTTCCCGAGGAAATCCGAGGTAATTGAATGCTAACCCTCCTCATCCCCGCGACGCGTCCCCCCGCCGCGTCCACGTTCCGCGCAACCCCTCCTCATCCGTCCTCCGTATCGCGTCCCTCATCCACTTCCTCCCCTCTCTCACCCCGTGGGCTTCAGGGGGCGCCATGCTCGCACTCTCGCTTCCCCTTCGCCATCACTCACCGACACAGACTTGTAGCTTTCAATAAAAATGTAAATATGGCGGCGTAGAACGAGCCAATGACAGCGCTACATCGACGCCCGGAGTTTGTGAGGGATAGATAGATAGAAAGAGAGAGAGAATGGGAGAATCCTGCTCTGCGGCAGGGGTTGAGGATTTTGGAATGGGAAGCTAGCGCTCTCTCTTTCTCTCCCTTTCGGAGGGTCGAAGATGGCGAAGGAAACGGAGAGGGGAATGAAGGGGTGAGAGGTAGACTTCGGCTCGAAGCCGAAGGTGGCAGGCGGAGGAACAGGCGGAGGAGCTTGCGGGGAAGGGGCAGAGAGTTCGCGGAAGGGAAAGAGGAGCGCAAAAGCTCCCACGGAGGACGAAAGAAGAAGAGAGAGAATCCCCCCATCCTTTCATTCATCGTCACCGCGGCCTCACCCGAGTTTCATGTCTCACCCGATGTTCCTCGTTCTCCTCGCTCCTTTTGGTGTCGGCGAGAGGGAGGCGAGAGGGGGAGGGTGCACCGACGTCCGTGAGAGAGCGACGCCGAGGATGACGCAGGTGCCGCAAAGCTTGACACGTCTCCGGCTGTTTTGTCACCTTCTTTTATCCTTGGAACTTTTTTACCGGCTACCTCGTTAGATGCCCTCCCTCTTTCACGTCCCCTTTTTCTCGCTCTCGTGTGCCCTCTTCGCTCCGCGAGCGGGGCGCGTTGATGGAGTAAGCCGAGCGACGAGCGGGACGCTTTTTAAAATCGCGCATCCACGCGAGCGAGCTACTTTTTGCGGGTGTCGTCGTGGGTTCTTTCCCTCTTCACCTCCCGGGCCGTCGACAGGCGATCGTGGCGGATTTCTCTTTTCGGGGGAGATTTTTCGGCGGCGGATTACTCATGGCGCGCGCGGATTTGCGTTTTCGCACCGAGGTGATACCTTGATCGATCTTTCGATGTTAACAACGAATTCGAAGACAAATGTCTCTTCGCCTTTCTTTTTTCCCGAAACGATATGATTTTATGATATGAATATTCCTTGAATTACCGGAATATTCGAAACGTAAATCACGTAAAGCACCATATTAAACTTTTCCTTATACATGTAATCCTAAAGAAAAGAAACATCTCAATTTTCGGAGATAAATGTTAAGAATTATCTTCTCTTTTTAAAGAACATAGTATATTTGCAATAAAAACTGTTACTATTATTATGCAAATCAATCGAAGTATTGTTTGTATTAAATTCAAATGAGCAGGGTAATATTACCTTGACTTGGGACTCCGACATTCCGAGGGCGTACGCTAATTTGGCGCGTTCCGGGCCAGCTAGGTACTTGGTCTGCTCGAAGGTCTTCTCCAGAGCGAAGATCTGCTGTCCACTGAACGTAGGCCTCGTGTGCTTCTTCTTGCCGCCATCATGTTCCCCGGTGCCGCCGCCCGCGCCCGTCATCGCTTGCTGACAGCCCAGCTGTTGCGACACTGCAACATTCGCGTCACCCGATGAGTGGTTCCTGAATATATCCGTTTCGCTTCGCTGCGAATGGAGTAATTAGTCTTAGCTGAGATGTCGTTTAACTTATTCCTCGATGCAGCATGCAGAGCAAGAGAATTAATTAAATAGATGATTTAGTGTATTCGCGCTCTTTAATGATCAATCGTATCTTACAAATTTACTCTGCTTCTTTTCAAAATTTTTAATCGTATATAACATCACGATTTTTTGAAATATCGGTTATTTCATTTATGCATCGGTTCTATATTCAGAAAATTGTTATTTAAAATGTATATGTATGCATTCGGTAGTAAACGTTAATTTTTATGGCACCGACCGTGTGGCACCAACCATTGAAACGAATCGATGATTTGCATTGAAATTCAGCTATCTCTTAAAAATCCAGCGAAATTTCGATATCGTACAATGAACCGGCTGCGAATTTTCATTGCGTTTTCGGCAACCGCGTGCATCCGATCGTATATGCCATCGTATAGACATTCTATAGGATCCCCCATGATCTCTTTTCCGACTCGCAAAATGAAAGGGGGAAATTGCAAGCCCCATCTGTGACTTTCGGTCGCGACAAGTCATAAAGAAATAGTGTCGCATTTTACTTTGATACATTAATATCAATTTTTTCTATGCATTATCTCTATAAGCGAGGACGAATATATTTATATATTTTGAAATAAATAATGTATTTATATATGTAAAGCAAATGCATATATATCAGTATTATATCTTAATAACTCTGATTTTATTATATTATTAGTATGCTAATTTTCCATAGAGCACAATAAAATTTATTTAGGAAAGTGCAACGCGGGCGCTATTGTATGCACTTGTTCCATTTACACACTCACCTTCATTTATTCTACATAGGAAAAATATGCCTGCGATATATCTTGGGGTATAATTAGCTTCCGTGTTATAACTGTAAGAAGTATTTCATTTTAACCGCAGTTCGAAATTAATTCGCCGTTCCTGGAATTAATTACGGTTCTTATAACGCTGGTAATTATTGTCGCAGCCATTTAATGTCTCTCTTTCACTGGACCTGCGATTATAACATTAATTTTTCTATGAAATGTCTTCTCCCAGTTACTTCTATTTTATTTGATATAAATCATTCTTGATGAATCTTATTAAAATAATAATTAATAAGATATATCAGTACCTCTTGTTAGATATTCAAGTCTCTTTCTCTCACGAAGATATAACTTTATAGTTTTAATTACTTACAATTATACTTATAAACTAAGAGAGTGAAATGAAAGCTGTTTTTCACATTGGTTTATTTTTCATATAATTTTCACAATTTGTAAATGAATTTTATTATACTTTTTCTTCGAGCAGCATTAATAATCTATTTTTTGTCTATGATTATATCTTAGGTTACATTACTCATTACTTCAGCTTGTGAAAAATGATATTTCTGGCATTTATAATTTCAAAATTTTAATTAATAATTTTGTATTAATAATTTTATATTAATCACTAGTATCAGCAGTAAAACTCTCGTAAATTAAACGACTTCATCCTATTTGGCTCATTATTTTTAATCTCAGCCATTTGGTTGCACGGTCCAAGCCTTAATTAGATCGGAAAAAAGAGGTCCGAGAAAATTTTCGAGGAAGATAATCGAAGGGGGGACGACGTCTGCGGGAACAAGAGGGGGTCGTACACGGTTCGATGTGGCATGTGGGCGCGTATATACAAGGGGGCAAAAGAGACTCAGAGGGGTAGGTGGATAGAAGGAAGGGTCGGCGCGGCAGGGTCGTCGTGACGCGGTACAGTGTGGGTTGTGGGACTTTAATTTAATAAAGCAATTTGTAACGGAATACGGAACGAGGCAATAATGGCCGGTCGGCGGGGAGGGTTCTAATGAGCTGCTTACCGCACTCCAACCCTGGGGTCTTGGACGGTGACGAAGGGAAAAGGGGGAAGGGAGCGGGGTATACGTTTCTCGCCGTTGGATATCCCCCTATTCGTCCTACTAAGCCGTCGCGCATATTTCCGCAGCCACCTTCGCAAAACCCGATAAGTCTGCGTTTTTTATCAAAATTTGTATGCGCCGCGGAATTTCTTTCGCAGTATAATTTCAGACTTGTTTCTCCAGACGAAGCATCAGTATCACCGACGATCGCGTAATTTATCAGGGAACTTGTAAAGAATAATCGCGCGCGAAACACTCTTGATTAATCGTTAAAATCCAGATTTTAATTCTTATCAGAAGAGTTTAACAAGGAATCAAGATGAAATATTCATACAAAATCACTGCGGTTAAGATTAAATGAAAATAAAATCGTAGGATTGTAATATTTCGATGATTATTATATTTTACAAAGGAGTACAAATTTGTAAAAGATGTACATGTAAAGAAACGAATGACACTCACTATAATATGTTTTATATATAGAATAATAGTGATGCAATATATAAAGAAAATTTGCATACCTCACACACACGAAGGCTTTTTAATTAAGGTACTTCCTTGAATTTTTTTAAACAAGCCGGATATCCGGTTATGTTCAATCGTTCTGACGATTTATTACCCGACTTTTTCCACAAAATATTTTTTTCGCATGGGAATTTGGGCCGGTGATATAAAGTTTTGACACATTCACATCGATACCATACCAATTCCAATTGAATCCAGTCAATGTTTCGCGCTAGCTTTTCCGGCAAGGAATCGATTAGTAAAATGAATAAAATAAAGCGTTAATAATTTTTATAAAATCGGATCGATTGCCTTGTAAGAAAAATATATAAAATTCTTTTAGATTATTCCATTTCAAGGGAAAACAAAATCTTCACACAAAGATATCCACGCATGTCTATTCATTTAGACATTAATCCATCAAAAGAACTATTTATTTCCTGCACGTGACAATATTTGTCGGCATATCATTCTCCACTAGGTTCACAGATTCCAGATTAATCTTTATAGCGTGTCACAGCGCAAAGTGGAGGGAGCGGAAGGGAGGACTAGGACCATAATTTAATCAGCCGATTTAGAGTGAACAAGTGACACGCGCGTGTCAAGCAGTGTATGCGAGCGAAATCGCTCCGGATAATGCGTATATATCGATACCTCCATATGTACACACACACACACACACATACACACACACACACACACACACACACAACGCACATACTTGCGCCTGGCACCGCTGCCGCGGATAACGCTTCGATGTCCGATTAGACGAAGTATCGGGACGGCAAATTGATGCGTCCGCCCGCACCGTGTCGATGTAAATCAGCGGCAGGTGACCGTATCGGGACGTTCCAAAAAAAAGAGGAACGATCAAAAACGAGACACCGCGCGCGGCCATTCGTAATATTCGTTATCGGTGAACGGAAGTCCGGCTCGACGCGCTCGATTGCTCGATTTATACGGGGTGAGCGACCCCCCGCTCGCGCGGTGTCACGGACCGTTTTATCCACCCGAGAGTCCGGGACGAAACAAATCATTCGTGGTAAAGATGCGTCGCGATTCGGACATAGAGAGAGAATGAGAGAGTTACAAAATCTTCTGACTACTTTCCGATATCAGAATTTTGAACCGATATCAAAATTCTCTCGTTTTTTAGATTTACGTTTTAAAATAGCAAACAAAAATCGACGATCTGATTATAATAATATTAAATTATATAAGTAAAAATAACTTATTAATTTAATGTGACTAATTCTCTAGTAATTAATTAATGAATATTCGGAAAGAATAACGCAAAATAAAAATTTCTTTCAGAAAAGTTTTACATACATACACACACGTGTTAAAATATAATATTGAAAGAAATAACTTTGAACGAGAAATAGATATTTCCATGCGTAAATATATATTATTTATGTTTCATTAATAATGATATTTGAGAGCAATACTTTTATTAAAGTAAGAAGTCAAGGATGACGCAGGGCGATGATTCGTCACTTTGACGTAATTGAATCGAATATCACTCGACTTCTAAAAAGCATGATCGCTCGTGAAGGGGCTGCTCGCTCCATCGACGACGTGAGTAATAACGGCGCGCATCGAGTCGACTGGCGTCCGAGAGGAATGCTTTATCGAGTGTACAAAGTATGTTGTCACCAAAAGTAAATGGATGTTTAGTTAATTCAAACTAACGAAGTCATTCTGCTGCATCGGGTGAGATCCATAGGGACACCGGTGTGAAGTCGAGGGGTCGCGATTATTATTGAGAATATAAGAAAGTTTACAATTAAATTGTCATATCAATATCAACTTACTAAATAACAAAAAAATTAAATATTGAAAATAATAAAATTTAAAAAATTACATTAAATTATGTTAATATGGATTAATCAAATATGTGTTTAATTGTTTAAATTGATTAAATATTTTGTTTCATATGCAATAAAAATAAATAAATATACACATATATATAGTTTTATGTTAAATAAAATTATTTTGATTATGTGTATAAAGATAGATTTCTTGTAGTGATATAAATTTTTGTTTCATCAAAGTATCATTCTTGATTTTTATGCCAATATCATATCCCATGAAACACACTTGCGAGATATTATTGGAAGCGGTCATCTTCTGTCTGCTAGGATGATTTGTTCTCTGTGTGGGTACGTTGTGAGTAATAACAATATATACATTGGCCGGCCTAAACCGCCGGAATCTCGTCGCGTCAGCGACATTTTCATTACTGAGTTCGCTTACGTGACGCTTACCCAGGCGAGTTTCATGTCCATAAAGCCCATCCGATGAAGAAACCGGGAAGAGATGGTAGAATCGGTGAACGCGGGGGAGAAAAGGATAAACGTGGAAAAGAGCGGGCTGTGATGGCGTGGAAAAAAGCGACAAAGTGAGAAAGAAAATGCAGGAAGGAGAACGGCAGAAATAACAGTGTACGTCGTCGATGTGTAAACAGAAACAAGGTGCACGCTATCCGACGTTCTCGTTATGAAAATGGGAGTGAGGGGAAGACCGTGCGGACAGATAGATGCCCATCATTTTTGGGAGAAGTTTGTGTTTTATGCATAGGATGTTATATAAAAGCGAGATCGGAATGTTACGTTTATGCGAGAATCTCTTATACGAATTACATTGATTATATGAATTATAATATTAATTAAATAATATAATATATAATATTAATTAAAATTATTAAACATATATAATTATTTATATATTTATTAATTAATATAGACTACAAAAAAGGCATAAATTAAGAATTTTATATTTTTACAAACGTAAAATATTATAATAAAATATTTATGATAAGAAGACTAATTATGAGAGATTCAATTTTAAGACTTCTTTTCTTGATCTAAAAAATATGAATATACAGTAGATAAAAATTTAAAAATTTTTTGAACAAAAAATATAATTTTTATTTAATATGATTTTAAATTGAGATTTTTAATCAACGTTAAAATTGTTTTTAGATTATTTTTTGACTTCTCTAATGCTTTAACTGATGAAAGACGTGTTCTCAATTACTGATGCAAGTATCGAAATGATTATTGTCATCGCTATCGTTTACCATCAAAATACGAGAGGGAAATAAAGGCGACGAGACAGAAGGGGGGATGGAGGTTTGTCCAGGTTGGTTCAGACTGGTTTATCTCGAGTATAGTTGTACCCCGATACATACGGTGCGGAGGCATAAATAGACGACGGTTCCCGTGGCGGTCGTTCGGCGATGCCTCGTGAGGGCCATGAGCCGATCAACGTTTTGCCCTAGAATATAAAATATACCGGGTAGCCGGCGTAACTCTTATGTTCTGTATAGAGCGGGGTGCGCGTTGACTGGTTGGCCTCTCTCTCCACAGCGGGAGGATTTGAATCCGCCATCGCATGTACCGGGCGATAGAAAAGGCAGCAGATACGAATGCTTCCCCTATCCCCCTCTCCCCATGCAGTTAAAATATTGCCGGAGTTATTCGCGTGAGTGTGGAAAACGTAGCCATGGAGAAGGGATGGCAGCTTCCAGAGGGTGGAGGCAGGGTTGATATTGAATATGATGATATCCCGGATCCCGACGCCGCAGCGCGGACTACCGCTGCCACCCTCTTATTCGCCCTTCGCGATACATACGACTCTTTCTCTCTCTCTCTCTCTCAGCTGTGTTTTAACAGCGAACATCCGAAACACACACGTGCGCCCTCACATGGCGTGTCCACGTCCGCGTTGGTACACGCCGGCGTCCTACCTCCTTACGTCGCGGTGTGGCACATGTGTCATCTCGCGCGAGGAAAGGGGAAGGATTAGGGGAAATTGACGTATGCGTGTGCTGTTCTTCTCTGTCTCTTACTTTCCACCGTCATCCATCTCCGTCCGTTTCACCGTTGGAAGGGAAACGAGACGAGACGTCACGTGTTCCTTTACTTTGTGATTTTTTTTCTGCGGTACCCTTAATCATCTTCTCGTAAAGGCGAGGGTGTATACGCAGTGAGCGATCGGCCGTACTACCATCGGGGATGTTTCGGTATGTATGTCGGAAGGGGGGAAAGGATTCCGCTGGCTAATTGAGCGTGAACCGTACAAGTACCCGAGGGAGTGCGAAGGGTGTGCGTCGGCACTTGATAACGATCGAGATCGACCTGCTATGATCGGCGTTGCCAATGTCTACATGTTAATGATAATTCAAGTGCACGTTAAATGTTTGCATGATAATTTTTCAATTTACATTAAGAGATTCGCACAACGTCACGAGAGATGGTCACGAGAGAATAAAAAAATGGAAATCTTGATTATTCGAGAAATCTACTTTAATATTTTTGTAATGATTGACGATTGAAAGACACAAACTAAATAAATTACAATATTCTAGGTAAAAATATAATTATTTGTAATTATTATGTAATTAATGCATTATTATTATGCTTATATATTCCGTATATATTATTTCATTTTATTTAAAATCAAATAAAAATATCTGCACGATTATATAATATATGTACGATTCTGTATATATGTGATTTTAGTTATAAATAAGATAAATCTAAGATCAGTAAATCTAAGATTATTAAAAATTTTATATTAAACATCTCTATCTCACTTAATTCATCCATTTATTATTTCTTTAATACTAATTCACAGGATAATTTATATTAATAAATTAAGAAACAGATTATATGAATATTTACAACTTAATTAAGTATGCGTATATAATATAATATTGTGTTATATCAATGAAACTGTAAACTGAATCAGTAATTTGAATCGATTTTAAATTTTAATATTTCTCGCGATGTATATAATATAATTACGTCTATTTTTAAGGCTATAGAATTTCAACTTAAAAATTCCATAAATTATCAAAATATACACTATAAATTTTTAAATATAAAAATATTTTCAATTTTAATATCATTTTATGATTTCTGATTCTTTTCAAATCGATTAACATACAGATAAAGGCCATAGAATTGCATTTTCGAGCGGTCAAGTTTCTGGTTTATGTGTCATATACACGTCGCCTTTAAATTGAGAATCCCCCATTCTCTTGTGACCGCGGGTTCTTCGTCCTACGACTTCCTTTCCCGCGCTCTCCGATGGTTTCCACGCATTTTTTAAATTCCTCCCCGTAGGCGACCTACGCCGGGAGAATCGCTTCAAACGACTTTCCGGGCACGCCGTTTCAAACGGAGACACGTTTGGCAGCACGTGTTTCTTCACTTCGGCCCTGTGATTTTCCTGCCGCGAAAGCAAACACGCACAGCTGTCAACCTCGCCGCAACGATACTCGGGGAAAGGTAACGAAACATCCGCAGGCGGTTGAGATGTAGTATGACAATATACGTATTTAGAAGTAATAACAATATATCCCTCTGCTCCGAAACAATACTCGAATAAGATAAGGATGAGAAAAGAATAAGGCAAGAGAGAAAAACACAAGTTAAAGATAAAATAGTGAAAAATGGAGCAAGTGCAAATTAAACATAGTTCGACATTTTTAATAATAACTGATTAATTGATATTGATACATTTTTACTAATTTTGTATTTAATATACATTATTTCAGGGCATAAATTGTATATTCAGTATCATAAATATATGAATGGTATTCTATATAATATTAATATGTAAGAAATATGCTGAACTTACATGTGTGTAATCTTGCTCGCCATGCGAGAGGATCGCTGACTAGTCCCTGAAGACCCGGCCAATAGACAGCGGGGTGTCGTGGTTCCGTTCTTTGTTGAAATTGCCCAATACCTGGGGAAATATAGAAATAAATACTTACATATACATATATACATATACGAGTTTGGTTGAAGTTAAGATTATAATTATTTCAAAATCTGATTTACACGAATCAGCAAATTTACATTCTTTCCCTGGTGCATATTAATAATATTAATATTTAAATAAATAATATATATATATATATAATTATCTTTTAGTGATTAATAGCAAATAAATATTGTTTCAACATATTAAATCCTAATCTTCAAAGAAAAATCGCAGTAATGTCGAAAATAAGTTTGATTTTTTAGGGAAAATATGTGCAAAAAAATATGTATTGCGTATAATATTAATAACGCAGTTTATTCGCAGTAATATTAATAATAAGATTGATGTATATTTAACTGATATTGCGGGATTAGAAAAGAGTACAACAGACATATGCTTTGGTTCGATACAGATAATGATATTGGATTTATGATAATTTAGATAGCAGCACACATATATTGAAGCAATAATCGAAAGAAGCCGTAAAATGCAACGGCGAGATGTAGAATGTGAGCATGCGTTTACTGACGGAATAAAACAGCTTTCTCGAATCGATCGTCGACTAAGCCATACCCATTTTTCCAGCATAAGCGCTTTATTAAGCTTCAGTTTTTTCTACATCTATGCGATTTATTTCATATCATTTTTATCATTCGCAATTTTCATACAACTCGCATCCGCCCGTAATGTGCAAGCGGAATTTAAATGCCGCAATTTTATAAGCGGTGCTCTCTCGCACAGATTTCAATCTCACTCTTTTTTTCAAAATAATTAAATACCAAATTGAGAAAATTACATGATCCCGTTATAATATTATAAATACTTATAATTTTATCTCCGCTTTTATAAATTATAAAAGTTAGAAGATTTCGATTTTTTATGCTTTAATTATGAATATGACATGATCATTTACATTGTACTATTTGAATATCATTCGTAATAAGAGTACTAACATAATTGCACACACATTTAAATAAACATATACATTTAAATAAAATCTATATAACAAAATTATTGGAATATCAAACGGAAAAGATATTTTGTTTAGCTCGAGTTGGATATTTTAACTCGATAAATAATTATGCCTATATCGAGTCTGACGTTTTTTAGTCCAGATTATCGGCGATTGCACACTTGCACACACGAATACATGATGCCAAATCTATTATATCTATCGCAGCCTTGAAAAAGGTTTTTCCTCGTCAGTTCTCGCTGTACGGGGACCTTAATGATCCCGAACGCGAGAAATTAGTCGACTTAAGCCAGGGCTCCAGCTGGGGAATCAAATCGGTAAATATCGGTCGAGATTCGATGGATTTTTTGTGGCTTAAAGGAAATTAGATCGGTGACGTTTTTCTCTGATCGATCGAGAGAAACGCGCGAATCGAATAAAAGACACGCCGGAATTACTATCGTTCACTTTTCCAAGATTTAGTATTTACTTATCGTTTTTAATAAAAAAATAAATATATATGTGTATGTATAATATACATTCATGTATGTATATTACTGAGAATTTTTAGTATATGCTTATGAAAAGCGATAATATTTTTTTATTATACGATTTGCATTTTTTAATTGATTTTAATGAATATATTGTTTAGTTGTTTTACTATAGAAAAACATAATTGTTTGATTTAAGTTAATTTTGTTATCAAAAATTATCTAAAATAATTAACAATTATTAAAAAGTTTAAAGAGATGGATACTGCTTTTGCACAAGATTGCATGTTATTGAACACTAAATTGTTCCTTCGTGAGTTTCTTCGTGAATTTTATGTAGGATGATACTACTCTCATAATTTCCAGTATTGCACCTAAAAACCTAACGAGATACCTTTGTATTGCAATTTCGAAGGATTATCTGTACGTTTAATTGATCGTCACCAAATAATAGCCTATGTATTCTCAACATCTTCCTCATAACATTTCTCTTGAGACACCCATGATACGACGTCGTTTACTATAGAAAATACTAATCATTCAGCGATCGACGACACTCTCGTCTATTCAGAAATTGACCATAATCGCAACTGAAAGAATTATTTGACTCCCGGTTACGTGGGCGCTTAATTTGCTTCGGATACGTGTTCTCTCGCCTATCTACGCTTGTTCGTCCGGACAATAAAGCGTCATTTCCATTTTATCCCGTCGACGACGGGGATGGATGGGGATACGCATCCGATACGATCGTCCGATCGCCACTGCTTTTGTCCTTTACGCCGAAATCAGACGGAATTTATAGGATCATAAACAGCTAAACCCGCGCACGCTCATCAACAAAAATACCCCGCAATCATGCTCTTTGTCTGCGAGTCTACGTGGCGGGGTCCGCTAACGAAAAATAGAGGAAAGGTGAGCTCCTCTCTCGATTCTTAACCGGATCCCCGGCACGCGCTTTTACGATGCATCGCTCAAGAACGTGCAGTCATCGTGTGAATCGGGCAATTAAAAGCGTTTAAAATCATATACACGACGTCCCTTAATCTTAATTTTAATCACAAACATTTTGATGAATAGGACAATCAATTTTTTGGAGAAGATTTTCAGATAAATAATTTCTTATAACTTTTGGAGATTCAGAAGTAAACATCTCATTTAAATATCCCAATTGAATTATAAATTTAAAAAAAATTCATTTGAGAGATCACAAATTAAAAGAATAGGACATCTCTCTCTTTTATATCTATTTGCAATTTAAACTTTAAAATTTAATTTATAAGGATCTTTATATTTACTCGGCAAATCTATCGATCATCATTTCTATTAAAAAAAAATCTACTCTAAATTGCAAGCTGGAGTGCCTTATGTATATACATGATACGTCCCGTAATTCGTCGGATTACTGATCAGGAAAACACGGCGCGCATGTGATCGTAAGTCATAAATATTTGAAGCACTGTCGCGATGAATAAGGCACGTGACGTCCACGGTCGATGGACGCCCCGGCGAAATATTTATCATTTAATACCGCACATTTTGATGGGCTTTTTGTCATTTATACAGCGACGACCGGCAGTCTCGCGCGCGTCCGGCGAGAATTTAATTAATGACCACCGGTGTAAAGTGTGTGCGCACGCGGAAGATCGATCGGTATCAGATGTCAATTAGCGGCGCGCGTTGCGAATCGCATAATCGCGATGACAATGTGTGTAACGTGAAAAAAAGAAGAGATCCTCGCACAAGCTTTGCGACACAAAATTGATCTACCATTTTTCCGGAGATTTCTGCATATAAATATTTTTTTTTTTTTTATAAAAATTAAAATTTTATTAAATTTTTTGGTTTATATGCAATGTATATTATACTAGAAAAAAATGCAAGAAAAAAAGTCGTGTATTTACATCAGGAAACAAAGCATGATACGAAAAAAAGAGAACTCTTGGACCGAATTATGTATATTAGAAAGTTTATACACGCAAAAAAATGATATGGGACACATTTATAATAATTTTTACAATGTAACAATATTTTTTATTGAAAAAAAAAACTGCTTATTTATTAAAGCATTTTATTCTACTTAATCGAAGAAAAACGCAGATGACGTTGCCTGCATATCATATTGATATAAATAAAACACGACGATGTTTTAACGGGGAAAATTTATACGGAAATGTATATATGTAGTTTGTGGAATACATGCATATGCATGTATTCGATGGCCGTCTATAATTCTAACAGAGCGAAATTCGCGCGCCGCACCGCCGCGTCGTAAATACGAGCTGCGCTACTGTCGTATTTGTAATCGACGTAATCTGTCTAATACGACAATGAAGTCGGTTACCCATTAAACCGTTATTGAAACCGTATACGATTACGCGAATTACGGCGGTAGTTTCGACGTGTATCATTGTGAGAGATACACACACACACGTACATCAAAACTCTCACAAATATGTGCAACGCGTCAATTGGAAATACACAGGTAAATATCGCGCAAATGCATTTGACATGATTACACAGTAACGATATATGACTATTTTATTTCGCCATGTTGAAATTCTGTTTCGTACCAAATATATATATCATTGTTTCACAATACTTGATTCTTTCGTTTCGATATACTCGTATAAAATATTCAGAAAGATGTTAGCGTGTATAAGTAGATATTAGAACCGCGTAGAAGAGAACTATAGAAAATTCAATTCGATTATTAAATCATTTAGCAGAGTCAATTTTTCAAGGTATAATCTTTCCTGCAATTTTCATATTTCAAGATTTAGCTCATTTGATCGAACGCTTTTGCACAAATAAATATGTTCAAGAAGCTTTTCTCTTCTCTATCGATTCCTTTACTTATTGGCTCCAAATTTATTCACCAAATAAGTACGTTTATTTCGAAGAAAGTACTTTAAGGGTGCTTTTTAACGCAATTAGCAAAGACAATTCAATCGCGCATGAATTTTCAGACTTTCATAAATTTTCTTGTTCTAAAAGCTACTGTAAAAAATGTAAAAGACTAAAATTTAGCAAGATTTCTACTTAAAAAGGGGGAAATCGCTGAAATTTACGATAGAAACCAGAGCAGATGTCGCACAATATTTCGGAGGTTTCTATTACAGGCAATAAAAAATGGAAGATACACGTGAGAAGATACATGGGGGCGCGTTGAGTAGTTTCTTTTCTAAGATGATGTGAATATCTGCTTTCAGGATAAACATACCGTTTCATGATATTCGATTCGGATATGTGAGAGAGAGGGAAACATAGCTTTATTAAAATATACACTCTTGTAGAACGATCTAATTTTAACATAAACCTGATTCTAATTTTTTAATATGAGATTAATATTTAAAAAATCCATTATTTGTTTAAAGTGATCAGATAAATTTTTCCATATAACTTGCGGAATAGCAATTTTAAAAGTAGATGGCGAAACAACAACGGTAATAACTCTGCGCGGTTTCATCGACGTTGCAAAAATCCGCGAGATGTAATTCGTCACGAAGAACGGTACAAGAACGTAACTGCGATATTTTTGCGGCGACGTTTTCAAAATTGAATTGCTTTGCGCACACATTGCATCCCAATACGGATTTTTATTTTTTTTTTTTATTTTTTTTGCAAGAATAAAGAAATAAATAATATTTACGACGAGCTGTTTTAGTGTAGTCGCGATGTTACAGCGCGATTTACTATTATCTTTATTTTTCGGACATCTTTTTACGCGACATTAAATTTATACGAATACACATTTATCGCTATTTTTTTTATCATCGTCGTATTGTTCTACTCGGCGTTCACTGCCGTAGTTTATCATAATGCAATCTTTTTGTACGTCCAACCGCAAGTGGACCAGATCTCACGCGTTCTCTCGCACAAATCCGAATTCGCCAGCAAGCCACGTACGAGCATGGTCGTCAGTTGGTTAACCCGCAATATCCTAACTTCCGCTCGTATATGGTCGCCCTATTTGGCCATCACATAATTCGCGTTCTATTGTAAATATAATCATCTATGGTATATTATTATATATTGTTGATTTATTTTATTTTTTTATTTTTCTCTTCTGCATTTGTGATTCAATTTAAAATATTTTTATTCTTAAAAATGTAGTAAAACAAAAGAAAATGTAAATGATAAGAATGGAAAGTAACGATCTACACAAATTTGTATCTTTTCGTAATCTTTTAATCGTTTAATTTGATAGTCATACAATTATTTATTCGATAACTACGAAAAGAAAATTCTTAAAAAATATAAAAATGTAACTAGCCAAGATTTTTAGAAGTATAGTATATAGAAACTTTGATGCATTAGAGAAAGAATAAATAAAAATTTCTCTCCATTTTTGCTCTTTTCTTAAAGTATACAACATTCTTAATGAAATTATTAGTATAATTGTCAATGTTTTAACATATAAAATAAAATAAACTATCATCACAAAGAAATAAAATTAACCGCAAATGGTTATTCTTTGTTCAAAATTTTAAAATATCTCAACTTATCACGTTATCTTTGAATCATTATATTACATACGTAGATAACATTATCGCATAATAATGAATTTGCGATGCCGCGATTAACACATTTCGACATGCGAAACTAATAAATCGCGAATATATTAGCGCGCTGCTTAGCGATTCGTTATTGCGAAGCATAATCGCTCTCTGTCGGGAGCAAATCATTTAGAAATTTAATGTCATGAATGTTAAGTAACGCCCCTCGTTTGCGTCGCTTGTTAATGTACCAGGGGAGTAGGTAATTCGGTAAGCATAAATTTTAGAGCCATTCCATCGTGCTTCCGGTCAATATTTTAATCATGCCGTATTCTTATTCGTATTTTTGCTATTTTTGGCCATTTCCATTTCAAAGAGATCATATAGTTTATAATAATTAAAAATTAAACAATACATAATATAATACCGACGTTAAATCGATAGTTTTGTAATAATTATTTCAGAATGCAAGAATTATTACTGTTATTTGCATTATTCGCTTAATTACAATTATTAGGTAAAGTTTATAGATAAGAGATATTTTTATCTAATATTCAAGGAATATTTTAAAATTGTTTGAATTATTATTATATTTATATTATTATATATTCCCTCTGCCTCCAAGAATTTTATAATATTTATTGCATTAATTGTGTTACATTTTAAAATCAATATATTTTTTGATTAGCAATATTCAGGTAGCGTTCGGTAAAAGGAGTAATAAAGTTATTTTATCGGATTATAGATTATAGACCGTGATACCAACGTTTATGAATTAAACCCACGTCTGCCGATATTACCACGATATTGTACGACACGTTATTTGTGAGCAACTTCATAATACGACCCTATCTTCCCTTCATTGTAACATTGACCCTTCGATAATTCTAAAATTGATGAATACACCACACATATATACACTTTCGATAGCCGAAGAATACAAAATGACTCGTAAAAAAGTTTTTTAAATAAGAAAATTAGAAAAATATTCATTTTCAAAAATATTCATAATTCTTTACTATATGATTGATATTCTTCTAAGTGTTTATCGTGAAAGATAATAATTATATTAACTTGTTAAACTCTAGTATCGATTCTAAATAATCGTATTTTACAATTTAATCGCTTTTAATCTTTATTATTTTTTATTATTGAGATAAAAACTCGAACAATTATATAATTATATAATTAATTATATATTTTTGTCAACTCGAGCGTTATTATTAATGACAAATCATTTAGTGTCGGAAATCAATAATGCACTCTGCATCATACTTTTGTATTTAGTTTGACATATTCGCATGGAGTTGAATGTTGCACGAAGGCACTCTTGAACGTGACATCTTTTCACAAGATTTCAAGGCGATGACAAATGTCTTTTGCTTTGTGGCACGTCATCCAATGGGAAAGTTATTATGCATCATTTGCAACATTACAAACGAAGCCTTGATGACACAGATTACCGGCGAAAAAATATAAGGAAACATTTTAAAAATAAATCGAAAGCGTACATTTATGTCAAAGAACACATTTTGCAAAAGAGATCTTCCATTACATAAACTTAATGATATATCTTTAGTTCTTTTACGAGAAAGAAACGAAGAAACTGAATTTTTGAAATAGATATGTTTCAATCATTCAGCAGAAATTTCAGTAACGATATTACTCGTTTAATTAACAATATTTTTATTAATTTTTATTATTTTTATATTTTACAATCAGCCATATATATTTTTATGATCCTTATTTATGTATGGATTTTTAATTTCTTGCTTCATTAATAAATTAAAAATTGCGGCTGAATTATATCTTCGTTCGTTAAACTGGAATGGGTTAAAATAGGCAATAGTGATTCGCGCGAATCGAAGCGGAAAATCAGACTTGGACTATGTAAATCCGTGAATTATACGCCAGCCGCGATCGTATCGAATGCAGAGATAGTTTCGTAATAGATTCGTAACTCCTAGTCGCGCTTTCGTCTGGCCCGCGGTTGTTCGATCGACCATCCCTTGGTAATTCTACGATTAATGCGTTCAATCCGTCCGGCATTACACGCGTGCTATCGTAGCACGCGACGATTTGCGTGGAGAACACAATCGGTTTCCCACCGATTTTCTATTGCGTAAACGCGCGAATGGCGAATTTGTTACCGTTACAAATGTTACTAATATCTACGAGCATCAATAATTCTTGACATTAATCTTCCGACGCAACGTTTGCGATGTAATTTTAAACAATATTTTTACTCTGAAGAAATGTGTTTGTCAGTTATTTTATGCCACCGTTTGTCAAAATTAAGCTGTTGAAAACTGTGAAAAAATTTAAATTGTTTGAGTTAAGTTTTTGTATTTTAGAAAATATAATACGCACGCAGTTTATCGCAATAAAAAATAAAACGCTACGAATTATTAATATATTTGTTATCAAAATTGTTTGCATGAAATTCCCAATATATTTCGACTTTTCAATAATATTTGGAATAAATAGTAATACAAAATTATTAGATATAATTACAAATGTTGTACAATTTTTAAGAATCACGAATAATAGTGAATTTTGTGCTAAACATTAGATCGATAATTTCGTAAAAAAGATTCTTGAAAAGATTTATAATATTTCATAAAAAAGTAAGCTTCATGAAAAGCCTATGCATATTATATTTGAACTTTAATTATAACAGCCAGAAAAATGTATGTGTAGATTAGATGTGTTTAAGAGAGATTGGATATAGTAGAGAAATATTACTTCTTATTCAAGTGGTATATAATTAAATGGTATATAATTAAATGGTATATAATATAATTATCTAAGTGGATATTTTGACTTTCTCTTTTTTTTCTCGCTAGCAAATTAAATTTGCAACATTGCTTATAGTTCTCAGCAGAGAAATATTTCTCAAAAATATCAGAAAATACCGAAATATTGTTCGATAGCGCAGAATATGTTATATACAATATTGGCAAATATATCTCCGTCTGTGATATCGAGTGTTTATCTTATCTAGATTAAGGCTAACCGCGGGTGTGTAACCGCATTATTCAAGTTTAGCGAACTCGGAAAGACGATAATATATACGCACCCGAGGATGCTGTGAAGCCGGCGTGCATGGTGGCGTACCGTGGCGCGGCCATGTGCTGGGGATGCGGTGCCGGCGGGAGACCCGCGTGCGACCCCGGAACCGTTGTCTGAGGGTGGACCGTCGCCGTCGGTCTCGAGAGTATCGTATCGATGCCGTGAGGGTTACTGCCGACGGAGGTGATGGAGGTCGCCGGGCTATGTTTGCCGCTACCGGTGGGCGACGATTGACCCTGAGTAATGGTGGAGAGCGGCGGCACCGTGATACGCGACAGCTGGATGCCGGCTTGTTGCTGCTGATGCGACGTATGATGCTGTTGTTGATGCGACTGCTGCTGCTGCTGTTGATGCTGCTGATGCTGTTGTTGCTGCTGTTGCTGCTGCTGTTGCTGATGACTCCTCTCCGCCATAGAGTGCAGCGCTGCCAGCGGCTGGCTGCCGAGCATGCCGCCGCCAGCTGCGCTTAAATTGAGGAACTGCAGAACGTGGGGCGCGGCCGCGGGGAAATCGTGAAGCCAGGGTGGCCGCGGAGGTGGCGGCGAATGGCTCGAGGCGGGCGGTGGTGAACACGAACCCAGCGAGGAGCCCGCGGACGAGCTGCGGTCGCCCTGGTCTAGGTGATGATTGTTGCGTCGGTGCGCGTCACTGAGCGACGACATGTTCTCGGCGATCTCGAGTCCGCCGCCCTCCGGCGTGGAGCGCGATGGCGGGTCCGGGCAAGCGTCTCCGCTGTCGGCGCAGGCCTTGCCGCTGGTCAGAGAACATACCATCTCGCACCACGCATAGTTCGGTAGTGAGCGAAAAATCTTAACTGGTGTTTAGAGCCGCGTGCCGGATGAGGCGCGCGGCTGTCTTTTAGAGCCGCGGGGTTTCTCGCGCACAAGGGATAGACCCGAAGACCCAGACTGAATCAGCTTGATGCGAAATGAAGATTCGACACGCAATGGTTTTTCACTTGATTCGAACAATGACGTGCGACTACACCGACGACACGAGATACGGCCGGCACTTACCGCGATCGCGATTGTCACTGCTTTCGCGAAGGAAGAGCTCTTTTAGCTTCTCTTCCTTCGACCGTCGTTCGCACTTGATTGTTTCTTCTTCTCTTGTCTCCTTCGGGTCAATCACTGATCGCCATGATCCTCCGCGAGCGCACGGCGCGTCGTCTGCGCGCGACAGGCTGCCGATGCACGTTCCACGAGTTGCGATCGATGAGCGGAAAAGTAGTCACACCGCACACTGTGAGCGGTCACCGTTTTGCCGGTGATTCCGCGCGATGACATGGAGAACAGACGTTCGGGAAATTAATCGCGGATTGGGTTGGTCGTCCGGACGATCGACCAGACGCGCGATCAGGAAGTCGTCGTCCGTGTCGCGCCGACAATAACCGTGAGCCTCGCCGAATGACTCGACGCGTCGCCAAATGGTGTGCGACCAGGGTGCATCGAGCGCGCGCACTCTTCTCTCTCCGGCGGGAGATCGAGTCTCTCTCCCGTGCCTTCGTCCTTGCCCTCGTCCTCGCGCGCGCGTTCCGGAAATCCCGCGTCAGGGGGAGAAGCAGGTCGGCCCTCGATGCGAGTGGATTGGCGTGCTATCCATGGGTCGTTTAAGTGTTTGGGGGCGGTACTATCATCGGATTGGTCGACCTGGTGGCGTTTTACCGGAAGGAGAGGTGTTCCGGGCGGGGCCTCTCAATCTCGCGTTAGCTTCTTGTTAAGCGTCTTTCATTGTGTGTTTAAATTCGTAATTTATGATCCCGACTGAATAAAACAAGAACTTGCTGGTTCGCTCGCTCACTCGCTCGTATGTTCACTGGTTGCCTGGCTGGATGGCTGGATGGCTGGCTGGCTGGCTGGTTGGCTGAGTGAACCTCTTGGCTCTGAGACTGGCTTTCTAGTTTGTTCGACGACTGGGCACCTCTGGCACGACTATGGTGACACTACTGTCTCGATAACTTGCTTCCTTCCTTCCGTCGTTCCTTTCTCGCTACCTAACCATCTCCCTTTTACTCTCTCATTTCATTGTGCCTCGCTCTATCTTTCCCACCCGCTTTACTCCTACCTACCTACCATCGCCCCGGCCTTTCAGCCAGTCAAGTACGCGTAGACACACTGAGCAAATCAAATTATTTGCTGCCGATGGTCCATTTGGCCTGCTCCTTGCTCGTTACACATATGACGATGCACGTGTCAACGAGAATTCGGTTACTTCATCCCGATGAACCATTGTCGCGCCGCAGCGCGCGGCTGACGTAACTAATGTCGGATGAACTCGCCGATTCTGGCAACCGACCAATGTAATGTCGGCCGCGCTTCGTCGCTCATACCCGTTCGTCTATTGGATCCGCGTTTTAGACTTGCCTTCGACCGAACGGATAATTTACGGCGGTCGACTGCACTTTGCGTCCTCGGTCATTAAGCGTCCTATAGGATTGTGCGCTTGCTTCTTTCTCTCTCTTCTTCTCTTTACCCCCCGCGCGAAAAAGAGTTTCTTCATTTGACGTACGGCCATTAACCCTTAAACATATTCTTCGCAAATTTCTTCAGCGTTGTATGCCCAAGCTAAATGTTTTTAAATTTGGAGTAAAATACTCTAAAATGGAGCAAAATACTTCTGGATTTTATTTGAATGTAATTTTATTATTTTCACATTCGAAACGCATAGATTTTTCTAATCTTTTTATAAGTATATAAAACTTAATATTTAATTTATACAGCTGTAATATCTATAACTTGTGAAAAATCTATGATATATCTAACTCATAAAATAATACTTTGCTACAAAGTTTAATTTTTGTAAAAGCGTGATTATGAAAAATCAAAAACTTTTCATAAACGTGACATTTTGAATGATCATTTATATGTGCGAGCGCGATACTTGCATCATTAAACGTGCGCGTGTCGAGATCGATCGTTTAAGAGTAATTATGCTAATGCGGCCCGATTATGATGAAGGTACGAAATAAGCTTACAGGGTATCATCATTACCACGTTCAAATACGTGCGTATTATTAATAATGAAACAATAATGGATATTATTAAAGCAGCATGACGCAATAATAGCTGGCGAACAGCGCAGTTGCCAATATATTTGTTGCACCGTATTAATCACCAATCGCATTAATACTTATACGCATTAAAAACTCTCTTACAATTCATTTCTTGCTGCAAATATTATATTGTCTAAAATGTAGAAAAAAAAGATTTTTTAAATGCTTTTTATTTTTAAATGCTTTCTTATTTATAATTGACAAGCTGTGCTTTAAATATGACTTATACTTCTCAATTTTTATTTTTATATACATATAATATTTATGCGATATAAGACTATTTGAAATATATTGTACCTACATGTTATTATTGTGAAGATGATTATTTTTTTGCGAAATGTATATTTCCTTAATTATTATGTCGATTTTATACTTTGCAAGAGACAACGATGTAAAACGAGAAAAGAGCCAACAGTAGCGATCGGTATTCTTCCGAGGAGAGCGGGATTTAAATCTATTTTATTTGACCCTGAAGGATCAGTCCTTTTCCTTGGAGAAAAGCGGTTTCTTTTCCTAAAGGGACGCGGACGGAAGAGGAATTCTCATCGTCCCCTTTTCTCGTCTTCCGGGCGCGCTTTCGGACTCTCCTCGAAAATTATGTAAAACTCAAAGAGCGGCAGGTATTGATTCCCATCGCCGGATGTTTTACGGCGCGTATTATTTTCGCGAGAAACAATCATTCGGTCCGGCAAAATCGTTCGTATTCCGTTTGCGCCAATTCTTCGCCGGCGAGAAATTCGGTTTCAATCGGGACGATCTCTCGTTACGCGCCATATAACGGATGGCACTTTGACGACGAGGAAAATTATTTTCCCAACGAATGCACATATATTCTGCAGATGCGTAACGATGCGTAATAAAGATTCTCCGCTTCAAAATTAAAATGGAATATTTTTATTCTCTCGAATTAAAAATTGCTCGTGCGATATCTTTTATATTCTCTTATTTTTTAATATTTCTTATCTCACTTTATTTTATCTCACTTGTATTCCTTTTTGTTTTTTTAATTTTACTTTTAATATTTAAACAAAGTTTATTGATTCGTAATTATGATACGATAATTTTCTTTCAACTAAATTTTTTATAGTTTCTTTTTTTAATTATTACAAGCAACTAATTATTGCTCAAGATTTTTTTAAAGTTATCGATTATTATATCTATGTAGAGTGGCTTTTCTATTATGAGCTTTTTCTTTCGAAATGTTCATATCGATATCCAATGCAAATTGAGTGGCAATAAAAGCGTTCTTATTTAAACAGTATTTTCGCGGGATTATGTAGAATAATTTGTTAGCTTCGATAAGCGCAATAAAACATACCATATGTCACATGTGTTCGTGAGGTATTAAGTTCTAGTTGTGTCGCGTATCATTACGTCTACAGTTGCTACGGCAAGCTTATCTATATTAAATATAAATATACTCTTTGCTGTTATAATAAATATAAAAATGAGAAATTGAAAGTCATACTTACGACAAAATGAATACAAATAAAATTTTTTAAGATTTTTGAAAGGCTAGAAAATTTTCCCATGTACATTATTATTATTATTTAAAAATTTTTTTGTTTTCATCTATTTGTATTTGAGTATATACGAATAATTTAGGAGGCGTTTCCGGCAGAACAAACAATCTTTGAACACTTTGACACCTCACGTAATCGCTTCGAGATACAACGCGTGCATAGGACATAAATTTGTCGTTAAAAACTACGCCCATTATTCGGTTTCCTCTTCCTACAGGCAGTCGCTATACAAATTCGACTGCTTGTATTCTCGGACTCCCATCCCTTAATCCTCCCCGTCGATGGTTGCCTCTTCCCTAAAGCCCCCCTTTTAGCGGACCCCCTCTCTCTTCCGTTGTCCCTACGTTTCGGGGTGAAATTATTATGCAGAGACCAAAGTGTCCCATAAAATCGCGCAAATTACACGCTCCGATGCGTGTCTGAGCTTCATCGTAGTGATTAACTGACAATAACGTTGAAAATCGGTAATTTGGCGGTGCCGATTAATCGTGTATTTACAGCTTGCAGAGGATTCTTTGCGATCGTTTAGGACTTTACGCGTGCATCAGCTGTCGTGGCTGCTTTATTGTGTGACGATGAGTTAATTTATCGGAAGATTAATTTTACTAAGGATAACAAGCGAATATTTACACAATCGTAAACATAAAAATTATATGCCGAAGTCAAATTTTTCAACATATTACGACATCTAATATATATATATATATATATATATATATATATATATACACACATTTATTATTATTATTATTATTATTGATTTAAATATAAATTTTAAATATAAGTTATTTCAATGTACTTAAAATAACCGATTATCTATTTGTTAAATATTTTTAAACTCTAGCTCTAGAAATTTTCTTTCCATTGATTAGAAAAATATCTTGTCCAAATGAAGATTAACACTCGCTTCTTACTTTTCTCTTCCTTGTTAGACTGTAAACGCGGAATTAGCAGTCTGTTCGCACATCCGAGCAGCGCATTCACTGAAAATCTTCATCTACACGCGAAAGGAACACGTGGAACTCTACCTATCTACTGTTGCCGGCGCTCTAATTCGTATTCACGGCACGAACGCTCGTCGCATGATCACGCCGTATGGATTTGAATCCGAGACGCATCGGAAGTTTGTGATGTCGTTTTACCGCCTAACTCACAGAGGATATGAAACTTTTCGATGTGCCCCTCGGCCGGATAATACGTTTCCGTCAAACTTCGAAACAAGTGTCCGGAAAAAGGGCGGCCGGAGAGACGCGCGATCGCCGTCAAACGTGATTTTTTTCTCCCAATCGATTCGCGATTATTATCTCGCAAATTGTTTTCAAATGGAAGTTTGAGGAGTGCGAGAGGTTGATTCTTAATTCATTATTGCATCTATGTATGTATGAGGCGGAAAAGAATCGATAGGCAACGTTTTAAAGGACAAAAAAAGCAAGAGATGGAAGAAAATATTCAATGCAGTCTTTACTTTTATTTCATTTTCATTTTTTATTTTAAAATTGACATATTTACATATTCTCTAGATAAATTGAATTATTATCAACTACATTATTATAGATTACAGATATAAAATAAATATACGATGGAGCAAGATAGTCGAGATAATTAAAGTTTAGATTCTTGCGATGATAAATATTTTTTTTTATTTTTGGTTGGAATGCTATTTTTCTAAATTTCAAGAGAATTAAAATAATGAACATTTATTTATGAAATTGATTTTAATTAGAATATTTAGATGTCTCTTTTTTGTAGTATTCATATATTTATTTATCTTGTGACAGGCACTTTTTTCCCTATCTA